TGCATATGTCAGCAATGGTACCAATCCTTGGCCATGGTATATGCTGGAGAAGTGCACATCCAACGACTACGCCTGGTGTTGTGTGTGCTTCTTCTTTGTGGTACCGGTAATGTGTAAGCAGATATCTGGCCAGGGCAGACTTGGGCATTTTCTCATGGATCCATCATCATGGAAGAAAGCTGGTGACACTGTTGCAAGTTCAAATGAGAAGACATCTGGAGATGGAGGACCACTCACAAGAGTTATTGATAGTAATCGCTGACACAGCTCCATTGATGACATCCTCGGCTGTGCCCCGTCTGATAGGCGGACACACTTCTTCATGGTGGTAAATCAAATGTGACTACTTGTGATGCCTTCTTCAACACCTTTCCAAATGTCATCCCTGTCATATTTGTGCAGAGAGCTGTTATTTGGTTCATGCTGAATCCTTGTGGGTCATGTTGATTAAGTCTCCTTGAATTTTGCCTGCTCTGATTAGACATTGCTCTTTGACTATGTCTCTCCTTAAGTGTAACCCCATAATTGCTTTGGGTTTCTTCTGATTGTAAACAGACCAGCTTCCATAATTACTTTCAGACAAGCACAGACAAAGATAATCCTGAAGATACAATGTGCAGAATTTGGCATAGTTGTTGTGTCCAGATGCTGCAAACAGGGGTAACATGCCTCCTGTTGGTTGCTTTCAGATGTAACTGCCAGTTCCCAGTGCTCTCTGCTCTTATAAACATCCTTACAATGGAAACAAAGTCCATGAACATCAGCCACAGCTTACTTGTCCTTGATGGTGATTTCTTCTGATCTTTCAGTTCAAGCAGTTGCACATGAAGCTGTTTGAGATTTTCATGGGCTGTATTATCAACTTGTGATTCATGATTCATGATTCATGTCTGTCAAGGTCACAACGCTTGGTCTCCCCTCTACTTCTGCAATAGTGATCCTTGATCCAAAATACTAAAGGAGGCGGCGTTTAAAATGCTTCAGACTGTAGGGTGAGATCCCAGTAAGCAGATCAGCAGCATAAAGATCCAACAGCTACTGTAGAGTGTACAGCTTTCCATTCTGCATACTTTCTGGCAGCAGCTCACACCAGGAACTGAAGGCTGTGTTCTTAATCTTTCTTGCTGAATCCTCAGGGTTTGTCCTTGCTGTCCTTTCATGCTCATGCAAAAAACACTCCATGCAATGTCTGTGGTATGTTGCCTCAACTGCACCAATGTTACCAGCTGGAACATCAACTGCCTTATCATCGAAGATCTTCTCTCACAGAAGTTGAGAACGGTCTCTTGCAGAATACTTTTTTCCCTCTGCTGAAAATATTGATATTGCTGATTGCTGAATTTCTATTTGGATGTTATTGAAGGTCTTCCAAATCACTCCCATTTCCTCTCCCTGATCTCAATACACATGGCTGGGTATTTTCATTGATGTCTATTTTGTGAGCTTTCAGTATGGTCGATTATGCTGAGTATGACTTTCTGCATTTTTCATGGACAAAGTTAATTTTTTTTTATTAAAGAGTTGATTGTAAAGAATCATTACAAAGAGTTAATTCTTTGAGTAGAGTGTTCAAACCCTTGCCTCTTAGTTTCACTTCTCCTGAACCATTGTGACAAATGACATGTCATGTTGGAGATCGAAACATATCTGTAAAGAAAATACAAAAATCAATTAAACTTATGATTAAACATAGGCATATTTGGACATGGTAAGACATATTCTGTGGCCAATTATTATTTAGAAAATATATATAAACCTGTTTCACATCTTATATATTTCACTTACTGAGATACATAGTACACTTGATATTTTCCCAAAACATCTGCATGGAGTAAAAATAAATACAAATAAGCATATTTTGACATGGTAAATTACAAACAACTTTCTGTTTTAATAATCAATAAATAGAATGCATATTATGTATATTCACTTAAAGAACAGTGGAAATGAAATGATATTTCATCTAAACTTCAAACATAAAACTTTACTGGTTGTTTAACATGCAAGTTTGTTGCACATGTTTTGTAGTTTTGTAACATTATCTCAAACTATCTGCATTGATATACTGGGTTTCAATGGAGAATATAAACTCTTTCACTTGAAATATGTATTGAAATATCACCTAATAAGTAAAATATTCCTGAATTATATAGTTCCATAAAAGATAACACTATCAAAAATAATTTTGCAGGTGATATTCTAAGTAAAACAGTACATTTACATCTGAAGGGTTTTGACATACACATATCTATAATTTGTTGTCAAGAAAATATTTTCTGCAGTGTTTGACCTTGACCTCGGCATCAATACAGGCTTTTTATTAACTTGAAACATAATTACTTTTGGAGACTAATGTTAATGAATTAGGCAAGCATAATTGATGTATAATACCAATAAGTGCTATGTGCCTTGTAGTGAGGTTATAATTCAATATAAACAACTAATTATGAAAAGTAAACATAGATGGCTGCAGTCTATTTATAGTAACACCATGAAAAAAGATCTTGAAGTCTTTGATTTGACTCTAGTGTGTGTAAAAACTAGCCCAGAATTAACTTGCCAGTATATGGCTATTATTTGTACTGCATGTAACTTTGTAACTGTAAGTTAAAATCATACTTGCAGAATATAACATTGATAGTTTGGCACTGTAATCATGTTTCTGCTTAGTGGTTGCAAAGTCACCTACTTCTATTTTTATTTAATATATGCCCATGCTTAACATGTGGATATTGCATCTGAGGGTTATTTATATGCATTTGGTAAATTTCTGTGTTCAATTTTATTCATACATACCCAGATTTGGTCCACTTTGACAGGAGCTTGGCAGTTGACAGCTGTTTGTTTACATAGCAACGGTGCTATCTTCTTACAACTGTTTTTGTGTAGTTTGCTGAAAACAAAGCTTTGGGACCTTTTTTGGACACCCCCAAAAACATATTTCCCCACTCTTGATTTTTCTTGGGTTTTCTGTACATGATAAATAGACACCAGAGAACAGTATTCTGCAATAATTGGCCTGTTATCACAAATGTCTAGGTTATTTTATTTTGACGTCGATTTCTACTGGCCTATACAATAGCTGACAATAGACGTGCGTCACGCCAATGCTTGGATCATCCATGTTAATATCCACCTACACGGTCACCATTGGCTGGCGATAGTTGAGGCTGAATTAATAAGAACACCGTGACCCTCACGGTCATTGCAGTCATCAGTGGGGACCGCCGGAGAATTTACTTGAGAATTTACCTTCGGACTACTGAATGTTGTAAAGAGAGGAGTTGCTACTGCGTTGTTCCATTTGTGGTAGGACTAAATATGTTCTTGTTTGCTTGACTTTACATCTGACTTTTCTTTTCGAAAAATAACAACTATTTTGATGTTAATTCCAAGCTGACTGCTGGACGGGAATGTCTACTATAGAAATGATGTTCATAGCGGATGGTGGAAACAAAGCAAGGTACAGTACTGATGCCTAATTGCTCGCCATCTTCACCATGTGTGCGGTTAACGTGAACGAAATAGGAACATGAAACAACAGATGTTCGTCCTTGACATTCAATTAACTTCCGCCTTGAAGCCCTCTCGATGTACGACGACTAATAATAAACTCAGGGGCAAAAGAAACGTTACGAAAATGATTTTTTTTATCTTTTATCGTACACTAAGTGATTATTCATATCTGTAGATCACACTTTCATCATTCAGAATGTTGTAAATCCATTAATTTTCCACATTTGATTGTTAAATTTCCAAAATCTGAGTTTGTTGTTTTGTGACATATTAAAAAAGCGAGGTGAGGTTTCTTTCGCCCGTGAGTATATAAGGTTATGTTATTTCCCGCGGTTACATATTAATGCATTGCACTATAGTTTGTGCGGAAATATGTATCCATCCTACTTGCCTAGATATTAATTTGTATTAAACGGTTAAAATCAGAATCGATATGAATCTATTTATGTTGCAAATATTACGGGAATTCCAATCTACAGTACCCCCTGGCATTACGTTACAATATACGTGCAGGTATATTTTGCAGCCAACTATATGATGTGCTGCATTCATTTTACATTCGAAAGTGAGACGTTCTTAATTCACGTACTGCTTTTAATTTTTCTAATGATGCTTTGGGGGGGGCTCAGAAATAATGTATTCTTTTTGCACATATTTCAATTGATGAAGTCGCACACTATTAATTCAGTCTTGAAAGGATCTGTTATATACACGAAAGACTGTATTCATCTCTCTGAATATTGAGAGTTTAGAGTTAAAGGCACTATTTCACACCACACTTCTCTAAAAATAAATAATGCATTTCACTCAATAATACTAACTATCAGCCATCAGGGAAGCTACCATATCATTTATTTCGCTATTTGTTTTACGTATTTAGATTACAATAGTAAAAAGTTCGAATGAATTAATGCAACGTTGCATTAAATCCACTCTCGTGCCCTCTACCACTTATTTCAAGCGAACCCCATAGAGTCATGTCCCTTGGGGCGCACTCTACGAATATCTTTGCAAATCACTTGTGATTAAAACCAGTTCGGCTAACACAGACAACACCGCGTGCGACAGGTTTCGATGTACGGAGGAACTGTTTACATTCCATATATAGCAAGTGTTCTCTGTTTGGAAGCTGTTCGCCTCGAAGTTTCGATTATCGATTTCAGGCAAGTGGTAAAGGATAATAAGTCTTTTATTGCATCAATCGGAAGCTTTAGTGATTGCACATGCCCCAATATATGTAACATAGGCCAAAATATTGTCGGAAATGTGTGAAATTGTGCCTTTAATATTCATGTAGTGTTGTTTATATATATTTTCAGATGGCATATTGTAGTTCAATGAAGAAGTATTATACGGCGCATCGATCTACACTGATGTATGCAGTGGCGACCTTGTCTATAACGACAGGCATACTGGTCATTGTAAATCAAGTTTTCGTCCCTCCAAAACCTGTGTTAGGAATTCTCAGAGAAAGAAGATTTCAAGTAACTAATCACTGTATCCTTCCAGGAATCTGTCGTGTAACACAAAATGGAACAGAGTATTTCGTATACCAGCGAAATCAAACATTCTACCAAAATCTGAACGCGCCAGTGGATTATAAAAGGTCGATAGTGCATGACCAAAAGATTGTGCCCAATACAGTTCACGTGGCATGGTATGGAGGCCCTAAGAAGAACACATTCTTATTCCACCACTTGGTGTGCCTGCAATCCATCCATAGATTTATTAAACCCAAGTACATTCTGTTCTGGTTTGATATGACACCAGAAGGGAAATACTGGGACCAGGCCATAGCGCGGTTCCCCCAGATAGTGCTGGTGTACAGGGCCCCACCCCATGTCGTCCTCGGACAGCCCGTCAAGGTACCGGAACACCAGTCAGATGTAGTCCGACTCGAGGCCCTCATGGAGTATGGTGGTATCTATATGGACCTGGATGTCATCGTCTTGAGGTCCCTATCGCCACTTCAATCGTATGTATTATTTTGTTCATCTCACTTCGGTAAGAACCTGCTTTAATTTGTTTACATGAAACTGTTTAATTTGCGAAAATGTCATGCATCTATTTTATCTGCTGTTATGACATTAAACTGCGTAAATTGCCTTCAAAATATTTAATGTATTGTGACCACATGGCACTATAAACTCTGTTATAATGATATGAGTCTGCTATAATGTCATAGAATCTGATGCTACGCCGTGTAACCCTATTACTGGCTACAAGGACAAGAATGTTATGAAACGTTATAATCTGATACTATGATATGAAACCATATATTCTGAAACTATGGTATGAAACTTTATAATCTGATACTATGATATGACACCATATATTCTGAAACTATGGCATGAAACTTTATGATCTGATAGTATGATATGACATCATATATTCTAAAACTATGATATGAAACTTTATTATCTGATACTATGATATGAAACCATATATTCTGAAACTATGGTATGAAACTTTATAATCTGATACTATGATATGAAACCATATATTCTGAAACTATGGTATGAAACTTTATAATCTGATACTATGATATGAAACCATATATTCTGAAACTATGGTATGAAACTTTATAACCTGATACTATGATATGAAACCATATATTCTGAAACTATGGTATGAAACTTTATAATCTGATACTATGATATGAAACCATATATTCTGAAACTATGGTATGAAACGTTATAATCTGATACTATGATATGACATCATATATTCTGAAACTATGGTATGAAAGTTTATAATCTGATACTATGATATGAAACCATATATTCTGAAACTATGGCATGAAAGTTTATAATCTGATACTATGATATAAAACCATATATTCTGAACCTATGGTATGAAACTTTATAACCTGATACTATGATATGAAACCATATATTCTGAAACTATGGTATGAAACCTTATAATCTGATACTATGATATGAAACCATATATTCTGAAACTATGGGATGAAACTTTATAATCTGCGACTATGATATGAAACTTTATAATCTGCTGCTACGCTATGAAACTGTATAATCTGATACTGTGGTATGAAACCTTATTATCTTCTATACCGACAAGAAATCTTATAGATCTACTTTTATACCATGAAACCTGAATATCTGCGATAATGTCATGATCTATGATAGCCACGAAAGCATGCCACCTTTTCATTTCTTAGGATAACATAAACGTCCTCCAGAATACCAACTGTTCAGTCCATTAAAAACGGTTGTAGCATGTAAGTGAGGTGAGGTGAAGAATATTTCGCTTATATCAAGACGTGCATGTGTGAGCATGTGTGGCTGCTTGTATTTGCCCAGACTTAAGCTGGTTTTATAGTGCTAGCTCACTGGGATACCACGCCGCAGTTAAGCACGACTATCCCACTCAGACACATTATACTGACTCCGAGACGACCAGTCCTTGTTGTACCCATTAATGCCGAGCGCCAGACAGGGAACAACAAGTACCATATTTTAACGTCTTTTGGTATGGCACGGCCGAGGATCGAGCACGCGACCTTCCGCTCCCCTGGCGGACACTCTAACCACTACACCACGGAGGCGGTCATATCGAAGTAGATAATAATTCCAGTGTGTGTTATGTCTTCAGGTACGACGTTACTATGGGATACGAGACACTGGATGGACTCTGTAACGGGATGATGGTTGCGAGGCCGTGGGCAGACTTCCTCAGGATCTGGTACAAGGAATACAAGACATTAGACGACAGTGTGTGGGGCTACCATTCAGTGCTGCTTCCTGCAATACTGGCACAAAAGTACCCCAACCTCATTAACACGGAATTCAGATCCATGAACCACCCAAATCCTGTAGAAAGCATGTCACTCCTGTACGGAAACAAGTCATTTGATTGGGAGACTTCAAATTATGTTGTCCACTTGGATTCGAACCCAAGAAATAGCCAAAAAACTTAACGCGCAGTCAATAAGAACTTGGGACTGTGTGGCTGGTGAGCTGTTCAGGTATATATACTATGGTGACAAGGTTCTCATACCACCCCATTAGCAAACTGTATGGTGGCAAGAGCTCTCCCGTGAATAGCATCATCATTACATGTCTCTGAATCCACTCATTTGTTATATTGCTGTGATATCCATTGCAAGAACACCCGATCCTGTTAGTTGCGCTCGGCAATATTCCAGCTATATGGCGGCGATCTCTAAATAATCGAGTCTGAATAAGACAATCCAGTGATCAACAGCATGAGCATCGATCTATGCAGTTTGGAAACGATGAGATGTGTCAACTCTAGTCAGCGATCCTGACCACCCGGTCCTGTTAGCTGCCTCTTATGACAAGCACGGGTTGCGGCAGACCAAGTCTAACCCGGATCTTCTTGGGTTGTGCCAACTTTGGATAAGGCCGGCAGTGATGAGGTTGAGGACGTTTGCCCGCAACCTCGGGACTGATGTTGATAAACCTAGAAACAATAGAACCAGAACCGTGGCCTCACCATTGCCTCTGTGACAATATAGCTTCTTCACTTTACACCAAGACCAGGTGAAGATCAGTTCAGATGTATTATGGAACCGCGACTTTGTACTTTTGTATATTGTGTGTATATGCTACCATCATATTATGTTCCACCATTGCCATTCTCTTGCAGAAGTTTGTATCAAATTTCAAACTGAAATAATTTTGAAATACAATTGTTAATTGTACAACATTTTTTGTTGGTTGTTGGTTTCACGCCGATTTCGTTTACTGTCATATTTTTGGTTAACTTGCTGTTTAAACTTGGAAATCGACACAACACATCCTAAGCAAAGTGAATTATAAACAGATGCCAAATCATGAACAGTATTCCAGTTTGAACAGTATTCCAGTTATATCGAGGCGTATATTCTAGCTGTACGTAATCGAGCCTGGACCAGACAATCCAGTGATCAACATCATGAACATCGATCTACACAATTTGGATATATCACACGTGTCAATTCTAGTCAGCGAGTCTGACCAACCGATCCTGTTAGTTGCCTCTTATGACAAGCATACGGGTTGTTGAGGACCACCAGAAAGAAAAGATTTATGCTTTATAAGGGGTATTGTTGGGTTTTTGAAGCCTGTATCTTGTAACGTGTTTAAAGGAGAGATTGTACGGGCGCTTTAATATTGTGACTGCCACAATACGTTCAAAGTAAATTATGATTCTGGCGACACAACGTCAAGCTCTCATCACTTGTTTCGACAGTTAGATTCGGGTTTACGGTAGGATAGGTACCTTTACATATAGAGGGCAGTTCAGAGAGAGGGCTGGAATATCTTGTGAGTGTGGATATGAAGGATACCGTAGCACAAGGGAAAGTCTGGAAACGTTTTAGCGGCTGTTCATATTTCATCAACACTTCTACTAGATTCAGAAGACTACTTTAAATCCAGGACTCACGTTTCCTATGATGGCACAAGAAGATTTAGGGGCGACATATCTAGAATAGGTCACACAACGAGAGCTTCTTACAAATCTTACATACCTGCATGTATCATCATAAGGCGACAATCACATGCAATACATGTACCTATAAACTGTTCTTGAAACTCGATAACAAAACCAATTGATTTCAATGCTGAATAGCAAATACGGGGTCCTCCTCATTTGACAATTGCTCAAAAATGGCAAGTTACTGGTACTGGAAATGCTGATATGTCATTGAGGGCTATTGCAAGAGATGTTGGTTGTCTTCCATCAACTATCAGCCTATAGGCCAGGAAACATCAGCAAACTAATGACGTTAAGGGCCATCAGCGTTCCGATCGACCACGAGTGACAACTCCAAAGGTTCACACAGCCCTTCTCAGAATCACAAGACGTTCATCCGTTCATGTCAAATGACTTGTTGCAACAGTCGTCGTTTGTTCAACAGAACGATCCAAAATCACCTATAATCGTATAGGAAAGAATAGTATAGAACCAGATGGCCTTACAGACGTCCGTTATACCCAAGGCCATTTAACGTACGCTTTCCGACATAATGTGTATTACGTACAAGGGTCCGCCAAGCCATTTAATGTTTTGGGTTTATTCTTCAAATGCCATATGTGTACGATATGTGTTGTTTTATTTTGATTTGTTATGTGGATACCATTGGTCTTTAGGTTAGGCGTAATTACGTTAAACCCTTTGTGGTTTATGTCCTCCTTGACATATATGATCAAGTCCCCCTTGACTTATATAATCAAGTCCCTCCACGATCAGAATGTGCCTCTTATAGAAACGGCCTGGTAGAACTGAGCTCCGCTCTGCACATTTATGTCTATCATCAATGCTGTCGTTGTGGTTTCTACACGTACAATCAGGGCATATACGTGATACCGACGTAATCTTTTACACAGAGAAAAAACCCACAACTACTGGCACCCGAACGGCTCCCTGGGTATGACACACATGTCAACATTGCTGGAACCTTTGGTTGTTCCCGTGCTGCTGGAACTAACCTCATGCATCCTTCCAGATTGACCAGGCTGACAGACCATGAGCATGGGGCGAATGGTTAGTCGAAGGGCAGTGGCAATGTGACTCATGACTCAAGGAATTCGAACAGCACTGTCGTCCGAGACTGAGATTTGCAGACAGGGACATAACTGTCAGAGGGTCCTCTTCACTTATGAAAGGCGTTTTTCTGTCCAGAGCTGATGGAAGACAACATATTTATTGCCAAAAGGGAAAACGAACGACGTCACGTTTCTTTCAGAAGGTCTGGCCGTATGGTGGAGAGGGTGTTATGGTTTTGGGAGGAGTTGTTAGGCAGGAGAAAACACCATTTGTTATCGTTAAAAGACATTACATTTTTGCTATTTTTATGTCCGATTGTCCAGCCATTTCTACAGTACGTGCCACGTTGTGTCCTTTAACCCTTGACAGTCCCCATACTGCCCTAATTGACCAGAACTTCCTGACCATGTCCTGCACACTCCCGAGACATACCCCTAATATACACCTGTCGTTAAAGCGGGATTAAATATTTACAATTGGAATTTTAAAATTTAGAATAAGGAAAACGTTTATTACCCTTGATATGCCGTATGCTTTAAATCCATTCTATAGCCCGTGTAAAAGTTATAATTGTACAGAAATAAATGGTAAATGTATGGAAGAATATATTCTAAATTGGAAATATTTGTTAAATATTGAAAAAGGTCGGAGGGGTTCTAAAAAGCTGACAACGTATAGACTTTTATACATGAATTTCATCCTGAACCTTGTGTTACTTTTAAGTTTACCGTTCAGCTATGGTCAAGTTTAGATGCGGTGTAGCCCCAATAAGAATTGAAACTTGGCGGTATGAAAATTTACATGTTTGTGAAAGGAAATGTTGTATTGGAACAGATTGTGTCGAAGACGAGTTTAATGCACTCTTTTGCTTTTATGTATATAATGATATTCGAGAAAAACCTGTTTCATATTGTTATTCCTCTGATGCGGACATTTATGTTTTAACAAATGCTGAGAAACCTTTGTTGTGTCAAAGTGCTGATATTTTTTACTATTTTGCCAAAACCTGCTTTTTAATATTACAGAACAAACGTCGTCTTTATTCATAAATGATTACCAGTTTTATGCATCTACTTCACTATATTTATGTTTCTAAGTTTTAAGATTTTTAAACGATCATTGTCTCTCATAACTCAAAGTGAATGGTTCTGTGCTTTTACTTATGTGCTATGTTTATATATGTATTTAATATCATGTTGTAAAGAAATGAGACGTAAATAAACAATTGTCTGTCCGTCATGGATCGCCCTGTTCGACAGCGATCACATCATCCAACCGACAAACAAATGGCGATGTATACCGCGTGACGTCATCAGACATGTGCGCCGTTGTTTGTGCGTGAAGACGGTCATTCACGCTATTTATGTGACATATCATGACATTATTAATGTGTGTTCCCATTGTCCATAACTTTGCGGGGCGGTGGGGTAGCCCAGTGGTTAGGGCGTTCTCTCGTCACTCCAAAGACCCGGGTTCGATTCCCCACATGGGCACAATATGTGAAGCCCATTTCTGGTGTCCTACGTCGTGATATTGCTAGGATAGACAGAGAGACAGACAGATAGTTCATTAACGTCTCACCTCAATTTACATATAAAATAACATAATATAAAATGAGCCACTCCTGTTGGCGTTATGAGAGACACACCATGCTTGAAATAGTGTAAGCCATATTTTTTTAAAACATGTACATTGCGTTGGATAAAAGAAATTCCGTACAACATATATACAGATTATTTATTTTTTTAAAATAGACATTTAGGTTTTATATACAATGTTACTACGCAGCTGTAAAATTGCCTTGCAGGTTTGGGCACTAAGCGTTACAACACTAGGGCTGGCCAGGATAAAACACTTTCACAATATCACATTCATATTTTAAACCACACCACACTTCATTGCATTTATCTAACAGTACCTGTCTAACATCATTATAACCTGGGCAGTGCAATAGGACGTGGACTTCATCTTCCACACAAGTATCACAATAAAAACACACTCTCTCGTCAATAGGTATGTTTGTGTAACGTCCGGCCTCAACTAGTATAGAAGCTACCCCGCATCGAAATACAGCTAGAGAACGCCTGTTAGCTTTAGACATAGAAATCTGATTAAAATATGCAATCTCGCATTTGCTCTTCAGCCAATTGTATAGGCGTAGTTTGTTGCCACCGGTTCGACTGTTTACTTCTATTGAAATTCACCATTCCTCCTTTACGCGCTGATATGTTTCTCTCACTTTTACTCCGATGTGACGCTAGTGGTATTTATTATGAGGGGAGATAAAATCATATATAGTCATAGTAGTTTATGCTTGGGGTGTACTCTGAGGTTCCAGTTCCTCTTGTTGTTTAGTGCGTGTTTGTTGGCCCACATATATACTTTTCTTGCTAGTAGATGTTATAGGAGCGAGCTGCAACGTTT